CTGTACGCGGTGAAGGTCCGGGCCGAGGCGATGCAGGAAGCCTCCGAGGCCGTCCCCAGCGGGATGCTGTCCGTCCTCGGCCGGCCCCAGACCAAGTTCACGTCCGCCTGCCTGGAAGCCCGGGAGCACTGCCAGACGCTGGGCATAAAGGACCCCGTGTGTGAGGTGGCCAACTACCTCTTCCCGGACTGCAGGGTGATCTCGGGGCACCTGGAGGTGGGTGCTGACGGAGGAGCTCACAGGCCCTGGGCCCGGGGGGTGGGGTCCTGTGCCCGTGGGCCCCAGTGGCGCAGCGGGGGCTCTGCCAGCGTGGTCTGGGGAGGTGGGTGAGGGCCGGAGCGTGGGCCAAAGGCCGGTGCCACCCCCGCTTCACACGTACAGGCAGGGGCCCTGAGCAAACCGCCAGCCCACCTGCCTAAGGGCTGGCCAGATGGGCGCCAGGACCTCCCTACAGAACGGTCTGGGCTTCTCAGCCTTGCTGAGCTGCTTCCTTAGAGGGGAGAGCCGCTTCCTGCTGGGCTGCCCCGCCCGTCCTGCTCGCTCTCAGATGTCTGTTCTGCACCGAATTAACCCTCCTGCACGTCCCTCCATTCGCCGCTTCCCCCCTACGGCACTTGCGAGCAGCTCCTCTGTAACAGGCGCCGAGGGCCCGTGGCTGATGAGCCAGGTCCTGCCATCGAAGGAGGCCACTGGGAGTGGGGGAGCCAGGCCCAGGGCACAGCCAGTTCAGAGCCAGGGTTCAAGGGCAGGCTGTCCACCAGCGGGCCTGGGAGGTGACGCCGGACGGCAGTGCCTGGAGATGGGTGCAGGGGATTGGGTGCCCTCCCACCTCGGGCTGAGTGCAGACAGGAACCGGAGGGAGGGCTGCGGGCGCAGGGCGCTGCCACAGCCTTGTCTGGTCCTCCCGGCCGGGCCTTGCTCTGCAGCGGGGAAGTGGAGGCCGAGGACAAGTGCTTGGAGGTCAGGGAGGCGGCACCCGGGCTGCAGCCGGTCTCGAGTGCTTTCCTGCACTTGACCGCGAGGGCTTCCTCTCAGGCCTTGCCAGCAGCCAGTGTCCCGTGTCTCCTCAGTCAGCGAGAGCCAGCAGGTCCCTCTGGGACAGATGGGGAGGGGATGTTGTCATGAAGCTGGCTGCTCGTTCCCTTGCACAACCCTGCAGGGTGGGCCAGGCGGACCCCACCCCGGGGGCCTCTTCCTCGCAGGCTCCCGGGCAGGTGGGCATTGCCCGGTGGCCCCGGAGCCCCAGGTGTGACTTTCCGGTTCTGTTGGAAGTGCCGGGGCCTTTAACCCAGGATGTAAGACCCCGGGCACCTCTGCTGGACCAGCGCTGACCGAGCGCCGGCCACGGGAGCCTGCTGGGCCCGCGCTGGGACCCACTTGGGACTGGAGTCGGAGGATCGGAGTCTCCGTGGAAAGCTCTGTGGGACCCACTGAAAGGAGGAGGGTCCACACGGGGTGGTGCGGTGAGCATGTTCTGGCACGGGGCCGCACGGGGCTGCACGGGGCCGTGCCGGCCACTGTGCCTTCTCCCGAGCTCTGCCTGGCTCACCCCTCCGCCCGTTCCTGCAGGCGCTGCAGTTCCTCCAGAAGAACTCCTCCAGGTTCCACTTCCGACGCACCAAGATGCTGCCGGTCAGCGGGGCCTTCCACACCCGCCTCATGGAGCCCGCGCTGGAGCCCCTGGCGCAGGTCCTCAAGGCCATCGACGTGAAGATGCCGCTGGTCTCCGTGCACGCCAACGTCAGCGGGAGCCGGTACCGGCACCCCAAGCACATCCGGCAGCTGCTGGTGGAGCAGGTGGTCTCCCCGGTGAAGTGGGAGCAGACGATGCACGCCTTGTATGAGCGGAAGAGAGGCTCCGACTTCCCCCAGACCTTCGAGGTGGGGCCCGGGCGGCAGCTGGGCGCCATCCTGCGGAGCTGCAACCTGCAGGCCTGGAAGTCCTACAGCCACGTGGGCGTGCTCGAGGCCGACGAGGCCGCGGAAGCCGCGGACCAGGGCCAGTAGGGTCTCCGGTGACCACGGGGTGGGGTGGGGTGGAGACGCGGGGGCAGAGCCAGCCTGGCGTCCCCGGAGGAGGCTGTGCCTGCTGCTTCCTGTCCGGTCTCCGCCTGCCAGTGATGGGGAGGGACTGTGTGACCACTGAAGCACATAAAGCGAGTATTTATACAGCACAGTCCGTGTCTCCTCCAAACGTGTTTGGATTCTGTGTTGCTTATGTGAAGGGACTGCTGAGCCTTGTCGTTGAGCCTCGATTGCTGTTGGTGTCACTGGGAGGAACTGACCTCCAGGCCAGTTGGCTGTGAGGACCCGCTGCCCTACAGTGGGAGCTGCTGTGCTGGAGACACCCCTATGGAGCAGGACTTGCTCCCGTGGGGCTTTGGTGCTCACTGAGTCTCCTCTCTGGGTGTGTTGCTTGTGGATGTGTAGTTGTAATGTGGTTTGATCTGAAGCTGTCCACTGGTTCTAGTCTCTGCCCCGATGCCAGACAGTCCAGTTCCTCCCTGTATGTCTGGGTCCCCCAGGGCCTTACCTCCCGGCGTTGGAGTCCAGAGGAAGCAGGACCTTGTAAGTTCAGTTCATGCGCTGGTCCTTTAAGAGGAACAGCTGGTTCTCTAGCAGCCTGTGTCACTGCGCCCCAATCCCTGCTGGTTTTCAGTCTGTGGTTACAGGGACTTCTCTTCCCAGCTCTGGGAGCCTGGGCTGGGGTGTGGTGTGGGGCTGGGACCCCTTGCTCCTCACAGGGGCCTCCGCAGAGACAGTCTCCCTCCTGGTTAAAGAGGCGGCACCCGTGGGTGCTGGGCCAGCCCGTTTGGTGCCTCTGCCCCTCCTGCCAGTGCGTTCTCGTAGGACTTCTTTCAGCCGGCTTCCGGGTGGTTCCAAGTGCTGGGTTCTGGTTTAGCGTAATGCCGATGTGGTTGTAGGAGGCGGGGAGAACTGGCAGCGTTTACCTATGCTGCCGTCTCGGTTCTCTCCTGGGGAGGTTTTCACCCATCAGGCAGTGGGCAAGCCTCCTGGGAATGAAGCCTGTTTGTCACATGCTGATGTGCGGGCTCTTCAGATCCTGGTGGGGCTGCTGGTGTTTCATTCCAGTGTCTCAGCAGGGAACCAGCCCCCCGTGGGAACTCCAACTTGTGGGCAGCTGTGCCGGCTCCTGGCCAGTGACCCCCAAACACACCATCTCCACAGCCTGGCCGAGAGCCACTGTGCATGTCGAATGAAGAACCGGTTGTTTTGTGTGTTTTTTTTAAATATCTTTTTACTGATTTCAGAGAGGAGGGAGGGAGGGAGAGAAACATCAATGATGAGAATCATGGATCAGCTGCCTCCTGCACAGTCCACACTGAGGATCGAACCTACAAACTGAGCAGGTACCCTGACCGGGAATCGAACCACGATCTACCTCCTGGTTCATAGGTTGATGCTCAACCACTGAGCCACACCAGCTGGTCAAAAATATGTAGAAATTCTCAAATATTCACAAAGAACTTTATTATTTTTAAAAATATTTTATTGATTTTTAAAAATATATATCTTATTGATGTTTTTACAGAGAGGAAGAGAGAGGGAGAGAGAGTTAGAAACATCGATGAGAGAGAAGCATCGAATAGCTGCCTCTTGCATACCACCTACTGGGGATGTGCCCACAACCAAGATACATGCCCTTGATCAGGATTGAACCTGGGACCTTTGTCTGCAGGCTGACGCTCTATCCACTGAGCCAAACCGGTCAGGGCTAGAACTTTATTATTTTTAAGTAATCGCCAGTTCTGCTGGAATCCCCTCTGCGGAGTGCTGAGCAGCGCCATCAGGCGGCCAGCTCCTGGGTGGGCTGCGCTGCCGGCAGGGTGGGGTCCGAGGTCCCTTCAGCCCCAGGATGTCCCACAAGAGGGAGCGGGGTGTGTGGAGGCAGCAGATGTGGCTGGCCTGCTGCGCCTCCAGGAGGTGCCCTGGGTCTGCGCATGCTCCAGCCACTGGGGGAGCCGAACAGCCAGCGAGAGGCAGTGGCACAGGAGGGACCCCGAGGGTGTGGCGAGAACCTCCACCCGAGTCCTGGGTGGGGTGGGTGGGCCCTCGCCCTGCCCCTGCCAGCTGGATCTGGAGGAGACGGAGTGGGGAGTCCTGGGGGAGCAGAGTCTCGGGGAGCCACGTACTCTCCTCGGAGGGCCGGCAGCCAGTCCCCCGCCCTGGGGACTCCACACCATCTTTGTATGGTGTCCCTCCGTCTTTGGGACCCCTGGCTCCCGGTCTGCCTGGATTGGGCGCCGCCCTCCTGCCTGGCAGGAGCAGGGTGCCCCTGAGCCTCCATCTCGCCTCATCTCCAGAAATCCTGACCAGACCAGGGGCCGTGTTCAAAGGCCCCCAAATGGAAGATGAGGGGCCCCCTCCTGGCCCCACAGCCTCCGCCTCAGGCCCCGGGGTGGGGGTCGTGTCCACCCGGGACGCGCCCAGCCTGATGGAGCTGCTGCGGGGGCTGGGGGCACTGGAGAGTCTTAGGGACCCCGAGCCTGAGAGGAAGGGCCGCTGGGCCTGCTTCTTACATCACCACAGACTGGGACCAAAGCTGGTTTTAACCAGGAGGGGGCGCCCTTCTGCCCCTGGGGAATCTGGTGTCCTGTCACCCTCCCCCTCCCCCTCCCGGGTGCCCGCAGGCAGGGCTGGAGGAGCACAGCGGGAGGGCGGGCAGGATCCCCGATGGTCCATGTCGGCACCAAGACGTGAAGGGCGGAGTGAGCCAGTGCTGGGGGCCCAGGCAGCACTCTGGAGCGTGGGGGGGCCCAAGGCTGTGATGCCCGAGGCTGTGCCGGAGGCAGGTGGCTGGGGCATCCCCACTCCACCCCTCCTACCTCATCTCCCTCCACACTGCACACCCAGAGGACAGAGACGAATGGAAACCACGTTTTATTGAGCTCCTCAGGATCTCCTCCCGCAGGTCCTGTGCTGCGGGAGCCGCAGACACGGGTGTGACCAGCACTCCCCAGCGCCCGCTGCGTGGCCCCGGAGGGCAGTGAGCCACGCAGAGCCCAGAGGTGTAATTCATCTCTTACAAAAACAAACCCAAACACGTGAGACCTCAGGAGTGTCCAGCACTCAGCACTTAAATATAAAAAAGGGATCGTAAGAAAACAGTTAACAAGGCCACCTCCAGGGGGGCAGGGGCGGGGCCCGCCCGCCCGCACTGGCCAGCAGCGCGTCACCGGTCACTGCAGGAGGCGGAGGCCCCAGTCCAGCAGCAGCACCAGCAGCAGCAGCCCGGAGAGCGGGCGCCCCCGGCCGTGGCCCGGGCGGGGGGACACCTGTGAGAGGAAGCGGGAGTGAGGACCAGCTGGGGGCTGGCGGTCAGCCCTGGGTGTGAGCGGGGAGAGTGACCACAGGGCTGGCGGTCAGCCCTGGGTGTGAGCGGGGAGTGTGCCCGCCGAGGGCTGGCGGTCAGCCCTGGGTGTGAGCGGGGAGTGTGACCACCTGGAGGCTGGCGGTCAGCCCTGGGTGTGAGCGGGGAGAGTGACCACCTGGGGGCTGGCGGTCAGCCCTGGGTGTGAGCGGGGAGTGTGACCGCCGGGGCTGGCGGTCAGCCCTGGGTGTGAGCGGGAGAGTGACCGCCGGGGGCTGGCGGTCAGCCCTGGGTGTGAGCGGGGAGTGTGCCAGCCGGGGGCTGGCGGTCAGCCCTGGGTGTGAGCGGGGAGAGTGACCGCCGGGGGCTGGCGGTCAGCCCTGGGTGTGAGTGGGGAGAGTGCCCACCGGGGCTGGCGGTCAGCCCTGGGTGTGAGTGGGGAGAGTGCCCACCGGGGCTGGCGGTCAGCCCTGGGTGTGAGTGGGGAGAGTGCCCACCGGGGCTGGCGGTCAGCCCTGGGTGTGAGCGGGGAGAGTGACCGCCGGGGGCTGGCGGTCAGCCCTGGGTGTGAGCGGGGAGAGTGCCCGCCGGGGCTGGCGGTCAGCCCTGGGGGTGAGCGGGGAGAGTGCCCACCGGGGCTGGCGGTCAGCCCTGGGTGTGAGCGGGGAGAGTGCCCGCCGGGGCTGGCGGTCAGCCCTGGGTGGAGGAGGGCATCTCCCACAGGGAGGGTTCTGGGACCTGGTCCAGGGAGAGGAGGGCAGGGGTAGGAGAGGCAAGTGCCCCTGCGGACAGGCTGAGGGGCAGGGACCACCCACTCACGGTGCCGGCGGGAGGAGCAGGCGGGGGTGTTGAGTGAGAACCAGAGGGCAGGTGTGGACACGGTTGTGAAGCAGGCAAGGCGCCCCAGGGTCCGTGCAGTCAGCAGCCCCAGGCCCAACCCCAGAGGCTTAGGGACCAGGCAAGCGCGTGGGGCAGGGGAGCAAGCCGCGGGGAGTGGCGGGGACGGGGCAACGAGAGGGAAGGCGTTATGGAGCAGCTCCACTGCCCAGGCTCACCCAGTCCCTGAGGATCAGGAAGCTCCAGAACCTTCTGTTCCCCCTGAGGTAAGCCAGGACAACCCTCAGGCCGGTCTGGTTGTAGGTGTGAGCGAAGCTGTAAGACAGGTGGGTGGGGAGAGGCCATCACTGCACAGACAGGGCTGATGGGGTGACAGCTGTGGGGAGACCGTCCCCTCCCTCCGGCCACCACGCCACCCTGACCCTCACCTCCTCCCTGGGAGGCTCCCAATGAGGGCCTCTCCCTGCTCCAGGCTGTTTCTGTCCTCAGTTCACCTGACTTCCTGTCTGTCTGTCCCCCTCCCCCTGTTCCTTCCCCCCCCCCCCTCCCCCCGCGCCTGCCAGCGCACTGGCCACATGGAAAACCCTCTGTCCACAGCCCACACAGGTGGGTCCCGCGGGAGCACGTCCTCCTCCAGAGAAGCTGTTTGGATACAGGCCTGGGCTCCCCAAAAGACAGCTGCCTCCCTGAGGCCAAGGGACCGCACCCCTTGGGGCCTGGTCTCAAGTAAGGGTTCTCTGTCCCCACCCGGAGCATCCCATGAGGTCTGAGACCCCTCAGGGAGGTGGCATCATAGGCATCTCCGCCGGGGACTCCGGCACCACCATGGGAACCCACTCCGCACATCCTGGCACTGAGGCCCCGCTGGCGGCCGAGGCGGGAGGACAGGTACCTGTACATGGCCATCCAGGGCAGGTGGGCAAGGCGGGGCAGCGTCCATCTCACTTCCAGCTCGTCCCCGATGAGGGCCAGCCGCATGGCCACCTCGTGAGGGAGGGCTCTGGGGGGTGCAGGAGAGCGGGTTGGGCTGTGTCAGCGACTCACACCGAGACCCAGGAGGCCACGGGGCCGCAGGCTCCCCGGGCGCAGAGCGGGGCGCGGGCAGGGGACCTTCAGGCCTCCGGCCCCCACCTCCCGGCAGACAGCCGCCGAGGTCTGTCCACCAGACTCCAGAGGTGAGGGCAGGGCTTCCGGTCTGGTCTGAGCCCTCAGCCGGGGCAGGAGGGCATGGGGCATTGTGGGCGCTGGCGCTGGGCAGGTGGGGGGCTGATCTCCCCCAAATCACAGGCTGGCTTCCCACAGGGCCTCAACTTACCCTCTTCCTCATGGGGAGGTGCTCGGGGACCTGTTCCCTGGTCCCCAATCCTGAAACCTCCTCTGACATCACCCCTCACTGAATGGACACCTTCATGGAAGGGGCGCCTGCACTCCCCCGTTTCCCAGCCTGAGTGCTCCCCTCCCCGTGCCTCGGCGCTCACAGCCCTGCCCTCGGGGTTTGCCCGCACATTCCATCCCAGTGACCAGGCGCTGCCTGGGGATTCCCAGACCAGAGCCTCCCGCACAGAGGCCCCTGCCCAGTCTCGGGCCATGCTCTCTGCTCCGGGGGCAAAGGGGGGGCGGGGAGGGGGGAGGGCTGGCACCAGGGAGTGGGGCTGAGGTCCCACCTGCATGCCGATACCCCATACCCTGTGGGGCCTCAGGAAAACACTGTGCCAGCTGGACGTCCCCTGCTGCCATCTACAGACAGGGCAGGGCGGAGGAAAAAGGGGCATTGTGGGTCCCTCCCGCCCTCGCAGCCCAGCCAGCCCCAACCCCAAGATCTAATGACTAAGAGTCCTGAGGCCTCGAGCAGGGGCCAGCACCCGGGACCCTGCACTGGTCCTGGGCACGTGCCCTCTGGCTGCCCGCCCCCCAGGCCAGGGCCAGGAGCTGCAGCAGTCTGAGCGGCCTCAGCTACCTCAATCCATCTCTTAGCGGCTTTTATAAAGTATATACATACAGCCGAAACCGGTTTGGTTCAGTGGATAGAGCGTCGGCCTGCGGACTGAAAGGTCCCAGGTTCGATTCCGGTCACGGGCATGTACCTGGGTTGCGGGCACATCCCGGGTGGGGGTGCGCAGGAGGCAGCTGGTCGATGTTTCTCTCTCATCGACGTCTCTAGCTCTCTATCCCTCTCCATTCCTCTCTGTGGAAAATCAATAAAATATATTAAAAAAAAAAAAAAAAGATGTAGCACAGGTTACCTGTGCTTCATTAACTTTATATGTGTGTGTGTGTGTGTGTGTGTGTGTGTGTTTGTGGTTTTTTTTACTTCAGAGAGGGAAGAGAGAGAGAAACATCCATGATGAGAGAGAATCATTGATCGGCTGCCTACTGCACTCCCCACACTGGGGATCAAGCCTGGACCCAGCCTGTGCCCTGACCAGGAATGGAATGGTGACCTCCAGGTTCAAGGTCGATGCTCAACCACGGAGCCACCCTGGCCGGGCTCTTAGGAGGCCTGAGGAAGGGGCGGTGGTCGTGGGGCTGGGAGGCGCTCCGTGCCAAGGCCACAGCTTGAGCCACTGGATAGCTGGCGCCGAAGGTCCCTGGCTGCCCTCAGGTGCCCTCCAGGAAGTGGCATCAGACACAGCTTCCCCGCCCGGGCACTGCCTCCACGGCCACACCCGGGGATTTCCACTCCGGAGGCTGCCCTCGAACCGCGCCCCGAGGCCACGGACCAGGGACACAGCCCGGGACCTACCCGAGGGGCTCAGGCTGGTCCTGCAGGAGGCTGGTCACGCCGGGGTCCGCCGCCTGCAGGCCGCGCTCCTGGAGGAAGCTGCACAGGAGGAGGCCCCGGGAGAGGTGTCCGGCCTGAGACATGTCTTCTCTGGGGAGACAGACGGGCACAGGTGAGCGACGCCCAGACGATGCCGCCTCGCCGCCACCCCGGCCCACACTCCTCCGCCAGAGCCGCCAGCGGCCTCCTCCGCCGCCCGGCACGAATGCCCCAGGCTGGCCGGGCAAGTCACCGCCCCTCCCTGTCCTCCATCACACACTGCTACGTCAGGGGTCTCGGATGACTCCTGAGAAAAGAGAGGAATCCGCGCACAAATATAAGGAGGCTCCGCTGCTGGCCCAGGGGCGGCTGGCAGACCACAAACCCCGGTGTCGGTGGCAGCGGTGACGGAGGCCGGCTCCACCGAGCACCGCTCCGTGGCAGGGAGGCTCCCGGAGCGGACGGGGGGGCGGTCCGGGCAGTCCCGGTTCCACGGGACCGGCCCTGCCCCAGGCTTTGTTTCTGAGCACAGTCACACTCACACAACTTCAACCATGGATCCCTCCTCACAGTGCTACAGCCTCCTTCCTCCACGGCTCAGCACGGCTCTTAGTAACCCCCTCAGCCGAAACCGGTGTGGCTCAGTGGATAAAGCATCGGCCTGCAGACTGAAGGGTCCCGGGTTCGATCAGGGTCAAGGGCACGTGCCTTGGTTGTGGGCACACCCCCTGTGGGAGGTGCAGGAGGCAGCTGATCCATGTCTCTAACTATCCCTCTCCCTTCCTCTGTAAAAAATCAAAAAAATATATTTTTTTTAAAAAGGCCGAAACCGGTTTGGCTCAGTGGTAGAGCGTTCGTTGGCCTGCGGACTGAAAGGTCCCAGGTTCGATTCCGGTCAAGGGCGTGTACATTGGTTGTGGGCACATCCCCGGTGGGGGGTGTGCAAGAGGCCGCTGGTCAATGTTCCTCTCTCATCTACGTTTCTAGCTCTCTCCCCCTTCCTCTCTGTAAAAAATCAATAAAATACATTTTTTTAAAAAGTAAATACCACCCCCCCAACAACTAAGCTTCTCAGGGCGGCCCCAAATCCTTGCGCATCTGAGCCCATCGCCACACTCCTGCTCTCCCTTTCCCAGCATGCCTTGCAGCTGGGACGGGCATGTGACCAGTCCTGGCCACAGCCGCCTCAGCAGCCGGGCGTGGGGCTGAGAGGCAGCAGCCTGGGCAGCTCGCCCTCCCTGCGGCCCGCAGTGTGGAGGGAGGCTGGGGCTGCGCAGCCGCTCAGGGCACGGAGGTGCTGAGCACAGTGACTGCCGGGCTGGCACGGCCCGGGGGGAGGGCTGGCACGGCCCGGGGGGAGGGCTGGCACGGCCCGGGGGGAGGGCTGGCACGGCCCGGGGGGAGGGCTGGCACGGCCCGGGGGGAGGGCTGGCACGGCCCGGGGGGAGGGCTGGCACGGCCCGGGGGGAGGGCTGGCACGGCCCGGGGGGAGAGCTGGCACGGCCCGGGGGGGGCTGGCACGGCCCGGGGGGGGCTGGCACGGCCCGGGGGGAGGGCTGGCACGGCCGGGGGGGAGGGCTGGCACGGCCCGGGGGGAGGGCTGGCACGGCCCGGGGGGGAGGGCTGGCACAGCCGGGGGGAGACGGCCCGGTGGAGGGCTGGCACAGCCGGGGGAGGGCTGGCACGGCCCAGGGGGGAGGGCTGGCTCCCCGGTGGCACCACTGGAACAGAAAATGCAAGCACTGGCCGCCTGTGTGCAGGAAGTAAAAACCCGGTCTGTTCAAATCGCCCTCCACCGACCTTCCCATTCCCGCAGCCCAAGGCCCACCGACTTCAGCTGTGAGCCTCACACCGGTAACTTCACGTCATCCCGTGACCGCTGGGTGACCCGTGCCCTGCCTGACCATCCTGTACCCCACGCTCTACCGGCGGCCGTGGGTCCAGAGGAGGAGGACGGATGGAACCAAAGAGTCCAAGTCCGAGTCCCCTCTCTGCCACTCAGCCGCCTGCCAGTGGCTCGAGCAGAGCCTGGAGCACTGAGGGAGGGCGCTAACCATCAGGCTAACCATCACAGCCTTTCCTTTGCGTTTCCCTATTCTCTTCTCACAATAGCATCCCAGGCTGTGAAACAGGTCTAACTCCGCACATCCACCCCCACCCCAGTGCTGCCTGCAGCACCACGTGCACAGTCCCCCCTCCAGCACAGAGGCTGGGCAGAGTGCGCCCCACCTGCTCCGTGTGAAAGGGTGAGGGCAGAAGCAGGCGGGGAGGGCCCCAGAGCCTGGAGGGAGCTGCGGGCCCCCAAGGGTCCGGAGGGAGAGTGCAGACAGGTGAGTCTCACAACGGGCTCCGAAGGCAGGCCCAGCGAGGGCATGGGGGGTGCGGGGGTGGCCTGAGGAGGGCGGGGCGCACAGGACCCCTTGTTCTCGAGAAGAACTGCTCGCAGAGGGGCGGTGTTTGCGTTTCTGTCCCTTCCAGATGGAGCCCACGGAGAGGCAGTGAGGGAGCGGGTGGGGCGGGCGGGGAGTCAGGTAAACACAGCCACAATGGCCTGGGGCCCGCGGCCTGGCATATGCCAGCGCACCTGCCAGCACAGCCCCGCCCCAGGGAGCTGGCAGCTCAGGCCCAGCACCCGCGCCCAACGGGGGAGGGGCCTGCAGCGTGTGAAAGGCTTTGGGGCCAAGACACGGGGGCTCCCCAGCCCCTCGGCCTGCACATGTGTCCAGGGAAGGGCACGGTGACCTTCCTAAGACCCTCCATGCTGTCAGCGATCTGAACACTTTAACACTTTGTTAAAGACAGGACAGATCCGGACGAAGGAGGCAGCTCCAGGGGAGGTTGCTGACAGTGAGCGCGCACGGCACTGGAGCGGTGTAAGCACTGGAGCTGGCACTGGCGCCGGTGTAAGCACTGGCGCCGGTGTAAGCACTGGAGCGGTGTAAGCGGTGGTTGAGGCATTGTGACCGGAGCGCGGCCTGCCCAGGCCCAGGGCTGGTGTCTATGGAAATGGCCATTTCCCTGGGAAAGCAGCCCCAGCCCTCATTTGCATCGGCCTCCAGGTCCCCTCCCTCCACCGCCCCCCACCTCCCTCTGCAGGCTGAGGCTGCTGGGTGCCCCCTCAACCCCCCCTGCTGGGCCCTCGAGGGGACTTCACCAGGCCCAGGTCTCGGAGCCTCACCCTGACCCACTGTCCCCACATCCCTCGCCTCCCCTCACCCCGTCACCCCGTCACCCCGCCCTGACAATCCCGGCAGCCTCTGGCAACAAACGGGGCAGCACCAGTCCTACGGGGCAGGGGCCTGACCGGGGACGGTGACCACGGGCAGCTGGGCCAGGCCGGGCTGAGGCCTGCAGGTCCGAGCAGAGCTAGCCTGGGTGAGCCGTGGGTGGGGCCGCCCCGTGGACTGAACCGCTTCGGGGCGGGGCCTGAGTCCACACCTTCCTGTGGGCCCGCCTTCCTCCCTGAGTCCCACTGCGGCCACTCCAGACGGGGGTCCTGGGTAACATCCTCACTCAGCCTGTCACCTGCAGTGTGAGCTGGTGGAGACACTGTAAAACAGAGAACGCTCCCCAAACCGGCTCCTGTTCCAGGCAAGGTGCCCCCCCAAACCAGCTCCTGTTCCGGGCAAGGTGCTCCCCAAACCGGCTCCTGTTCCGGGCAAGGTGCCCCCCCAAACCAGCTCCTGTTCCGGGCAAGGTGCCCCCCAAAACCGGCTCCTGTTCCAGGCAAAGTGCCCCCCAAAACCGGCTCCTGTTCCAGGCAAAGTGCTCCCCCAAACCGGCTCCTGTTCCAGGCAAAGTGCTCCCCCAAACCAGCTCCTGTTCCGGGCAAGGTGCCCCCCCAAACCGGCTCCTGTTCCAGGCAAAGTGCTCCCCCAAACCGGGCTCCTGTTCCGGACAAGGTGCCCCCCCAAACCAGCTCCTGTTCCGGGCAAGGTGCCCCCCCAAACTGGCTCCTGTTCCGGGCAGGGGCCAGCAGCACCGTTACAATCCTGGCGGGTGTCCGAGCGTCCACCACTGTCCGGCCTGAGCCGGCGCTGGGCGTGGGCCCATTGATCGCCCCACCGGCTGGCGGGCCTGGGCTCTAGCTCCGGGGGAGGGGAGTGTGGCTGGGACCTGGGCAGGTCCCACACAGCCTCAGCCCGGCCCTCCCGCGGCCCCAGCACCCGGCACAGGCCGTGCTGGTCCGGGCCCCTCCGCCCGGCCCGCTGCCCTGCCTTGCCTGCCCCAGGCTCTCTCTGACCTGATTCCTAGACAGCAGTCCGCGTACTGACCCCATCACGGGTCCACTCGGCTCCTCGTCCCCCCGGGAGCCGTGCCACCCCGAGACCAGGGCCCTCTCCTCACCCAGGTCGCCTCGCCAGCTCCGCCTGCCTCCCTCACCCCAGGCCCCACACTAAAGAGGCTGTAACTATGCCCGATGTGTCACGCCTCTTTGCCCCTAAAGAGCTCGGCTCCAGCGGCCCCTTCCCAGATCCCAGAGCCAGGGGAAGGGGGGAGCACAGGGCTCCCACAGCCTCTGCCCCCTGTCCCTGGCGCTGCGGGTCCGCGCCTGTAGCTTAGAGTGGGGACTCGGAGCCAGGCTGAGGGCCCGCCCGCCTCGCTGCCACCAGCAGTGCTGCCCCGCGGCTGCTGTGGGGCCAGGGTGGGTCCGTGCTGTGAGCGAGCAGTGCGTGTCGCAGGACTGAGCAAAGGCTGTGCGGAGCCCGGAGCCGGCCTGGCTGTCGGCATCTATTTTCCCACAGGTTTGCAAACGTGTGGTTAAAGCCCTTCTCTGGTGAACAGAGGCGGCGCCCCCACCCACCCGGACAGCCCGCACCTGCCCTCCCTCAGACTCAGTGGAAAGCAGCCAGGAGCCCCGCCTGGCCCCGAGGTCAGGATGCAAATCAGCGCCTGCGCAGAGGACAGCCGCCCGTGGGCCTGGGGCACCTGCAGGCGGAGCGCACGGCCGGCCTGCTCTGGGCAAACAGTCTGCCCTGGGCCGCCAGCTCCGGCCTGGCCTCGGTGTACAAGCCTGGGAAATGGGCGCACGCCGGCTCCGCCAGGTGCTCTGCCAGAGACCGAGAGGCCGGGGTGGCACAAGTGGGGGAGGGGTGCCACCTCCTGGTGGG